ATCTCGCTCAACACGTCCTGGAGACTCGGCAAGTAATCGAGGATCAGCGGCCTTACGTGTTGACAATGAACTTTCTGGATCACGACCTGCTAGCCTTATAGAAGCAGGATATTACGGCAGTTCAATAATAGACAGTGGTTTTCCTTCTGATGAAGAAATACTTCAAGAAATCAGAAATCTCTTGTCTGCCGCTAATTTAATGACAATAACCAAGAAACAAGTACGGGATGAATTATCCCAATTCTTTGGCATGGACATGAGTTCAAAGAAAGAATATATTAACAATTGCATAGAATTAATACTTCAAGGAAAACTGTAATTGGTTATGTTATATCTTAAATCAAAAACTTAATTACTAACACTAATTCATTACAAAAAAAAAAAAAGGAAAAATTCTAAAAGCATACCAAAAATTTTTATACCAAAATTCTTTATTTTTTTTTCATAAGTCGTTTAACATATTTCGCTTTAATTTAGCTTACTATTAACGACCCTTATGAAAATAGCAATTTAAAACCTTAGTATTTTGTTATGTCTATTTACTTTAAATGGGCTATTAATAAAAATGAACAATTTTTTTTACAATTATCTTTTTTTTCTGTAGGTAATTTTAGGTTTTATTAAAGTTATTATTTGGTGTATTTTTCAATACTATAAAAACAGATATTTACTTGATAATGTATACAAATAGTATATAGTTTTTTTTAGCATTTTAGTAAAAACTGTTTTTAGTTAGAATAAGTGTGGTTGGTATTTATTTATATATAATTTTTTTTACAAAATTAATTTTACAATAATAAAATTTTATAATTTAGAAATTTCAATATAACAGAAATTATTTATATATTTTGTATTGAACTTTGCAATATATATTTTGTATCGTGAGTATGATTTACTATAAATACAGTATATATATGGGGTGGTTAGTAGAGAACAAGCAAATTGTTTATTTTTAAAACTCTATGCAAAAATATTTTAACAACTACTTGATAAAAATTTTTATTCAAAAATTTACAAAATTGCTTGATTTTATTAATCACCTCTATATACAGTA